TGGTGGTTAGCACTACTGCTTTACAGGAAGAAGAACCTGGATTCAAATCCACCGTCCAGCCAGGGATTTTGTGTGTGTCGTTTGCATGGTCTCCTCTCTCTCACACACACATACATATACATATATATATATACACACATTATATATATATGTATACGTATGTGTGTGTGAGAGAGAGGAGACCATGAATCCTCCCTTAGTTATGCTGCAATAGGTGTGAGCTGCTGGGAGATTTCCGTGATGCATTGAGTGTTTCTTTTTCAGTCACCTTTCTCACTCACTCAGCACTGAATCATATCTGTTATTAATCTCTGTCTCTCTTCCACAGCATGTCTTTATCCTGTTTTCCTTCTCTCACCCCAACTGGTCGCAGCAGATGGCCCCGCCCCTCCCTGACCCTAGTTCTGCCGGAGGTTTCTTCCTGTTAAAAGCGAGTTTTTCCTTCCCACTGTCGCCACAGTGCTTGCTCATAAGGGGTTATATTATTGTTCGGTTTTTCTTTGTTGTATTATTGTAGGGTCTACCTTACAATATAAAGCACCTTGAGGCAACTGTTGTTGTGATTTGGCGCTGTATAAATAAAATTGAGTTGAATTGAATTGAATATGTCATGTTTTGTATTTATACTTATAGCTGCCTTAAGGCACTTTATATTGTGAGGTAAATACCCTACAATAATACAGTGTTATGGTTGCATAATGACAATAAGAAGTCTTGAATCTTAAATCCTGTTTGGTGTCCGACCAAAGTGCTACATTTCTGTTTGGTTTGTTGGTTGTACAGTGGGTGGCCAATGACACAGGACACAGGATATGTCCATTTATCTATATTAGGACTTGTGTCTGGTTTGTTTGAACTTAGGTACTCTAATATCTGCTCTCCTTTTAGTGTTTTGATTCAAGGATTTAAGGGGCTTTATTGTTAGAGCAGAGCGATGTGACCAAAAGTATTTATCACAATATACATTTGAAAATTTGCAATAACGATATAACTGACGATATAATTGACACTAGACAAAATACTTTACAACTCCACAACTTTATTAGTGCAAAAAACCCCATCAATGTATTTTCACTTAAACAAGCAGCTGTTTTTCATGTGCATTAAAGTTCTATAAAAATGTAACAGTGCAAATTCCTCGCTGACAGTTTAACCAAAAGGTATTTCCAGTGGAAATTGGCCGACATATCCTCAGCATAACCATGTATAATATCCACAAAACTTAAAAAGAGGTTATACACACACAATACGGTAATATTATGTTGAAGCACAGTACGTATCACTCCGCGAGGCTCCTGCCTACGATGCCGTAATGCTCCGACAATCCATCAAGCGGTGCGGCTTCGTAGCTTAGCAAAGTCGCACTAAAACATTTGACAGATTGCTGAGCGCCGTGTACCACATAAAATCGTTTCGAGGTCAGTAAACACAACCAGAGTTCATACATAAGGCACACGGGATTATAAGGGGCGCTGTCGATTTTCAGAAAATCAAAGGATTGATTTTAAGTGTGCCGTATTTTCCAAAAAACACGGTAATAACGACGGCCCGCTAGCATGCTCTACCAAAAATAGTGCTTTGTTGTGCATCTGACGGACAAAAGCTAAACCAGTCCCACACCACTGAAGTTGCAGCATTTTTACAAACCAATTCTGGTTCATCCGTTTCATTTAACGCTCCACTTTTGCTCTTCTCATTCTGCGTCTCTGCCATGTGCGTATGTAAACAAAGGCACTGCGCATGCGCGTTTTACCCATATTCTATCGCGATATGTCATTTTCCTATCGTTGCCCAAAATTACACCGGTATTATCGTGAATGGTATGATATAGCCCAGCCCTATTTATTGTCATTTGCATCACGTTTACATGAAGTGGAAGGAAATGACAATAAAGCTCCTTGAATCCTCACCATCAGCAGCAAAATATCTGCCTCTAAATGCTTCCCTTTGTCAGTGTTGGGTAGATTTTGGCATTCGCATACATCTTTATGCTGTTTCAGCTGGGTGTTGAATGTGGACACAAGGTTAGCGAGAATGCAGAGAAGTGTAAAAATATGAGCCCCCCAAAAAAATACAATCATGAGGAATATAAAATTCTGCAGAATCGAGAAATTAAGTAACCTTAGGTGATAATTTTCTGTGGCTTCCTTATTATAGGCAATACCTCTCAGTATAGCTATGTGAGCCATTATTATTATAAAAATAATGATTAGTGGAGCGTTAAAGCTTTATTTAGCCAACATGAAAGATTAGCAGGGCTAATACCCCGTGGCTAAATCTCTAAAGTGGACACAGCTGTGGATCTCGCTGTAAGTGGCTTTGATGAACAGCAGCACTGATCTATTTTGTCATCTTACCACACTGTGTCAGTGACAACACAGCAAACACTTCCCCATCTGATTTATTCCTAACAGGCCTCTCGCTGAACACAATGGGCCCTGTTTGCGTTCGCTGCTGTGGGATCACAATGTTCACTCCCTCACTGTGACACAAATACGCTCACTCTCACTCGGGAGAATCCACATGTGTTGCTCTCAAGCAATAAACCAGATGCACAAATGCTGTTGCAAGCATGTCACAAGAATGTAACGCAGGGGCAGAACAATGTGAGGTATTTGGAGGGGAGGAAGCCATGGCAGCGGTCCAGCAAACAAACAAGGACTTCCTGCTGCATGCATCCTCAATGGGAGGAAGGAACCACAACCCTTACCCTATGGGAACTCAGTGTGTGTGTGTATGTGTGCGGGTGTGTTTCGGAAAGATTGATTACGATTTACACAAAGTGCTGTATACATCCTTGACAGAACACTTGAACTTGCCAAAATCAGAAGGAGGAGCTGATGAATTCAGATATCAGACTTCAGACAGCTTTATAACCCACACAGACCGCACACAAGAAGAAAACATTCTCACTTACTAAAGAGAAAATGAGGATCTCAGCATGTTTATGAAACGTGTGCAGTGAGTGAAAAATGAGAGCTCATTTTGTCCCCGGGGAATTGCTGTTTGTTGAGGAGGCCGTGAACGTCATGTTTTGCTCGAGTAGAAACAAAAACCCACTAAATCGTGGCAACAAGTATGTTTTTGCTGGATTTGTGAAGCTCATCATCACAGGCCCAGGTAGAAGGTACTTATGGTTGATGTACTGTAAGGGACCAAAACATAAACTTGCATGTTTTACTGAAATTATCTAAGCATGAGAAAATTCCAGCATAACACTTCCCAGAGTCATTTCTTTTCCTATCATGAGCCAATCCACCAGGACATTTAATAAACTTTAGTAGAAAGTCTACTTTACCTAGCTGTAGACTGTAGCTAGGTTTACTTTCAAATGCAGCACACATTTTAACTTCTTTTTTTCCCTGTTTTTATCCACTTGTGTTGTTTAAAAATCAATAAATGGTCTAACATGGTTATATAACTAACAGTATACCTGCCAAACCTCAAATGTTGAGATGAAAGTAAAAAACATGGATTGATCAAAGTATCATTGGGCACAAGTTGGTCTCCAACCTTTTCATGAGAGTGTGAATCTCAGATCGAAAGCACTTAGGTACAGATGTTGTACAGCACTTTTCAAGTCTTACCTAATGAAGATGGCATGTGTAGCCTGTCTAAGCTGTGATTTTGAAAGTGACTAGATACAGACACAATGCAACAAAGGTAGACAACTGAATGTCAGGAGGCTGAGACTTGTCAAAGCTCATGAATCCAAAAGCCTCTGCATGGTATTGCTACATGTTAGGGACACAAATGAAGCGAGAATTTAAAGGAAACAAAGCAGCAGCTCAGGCTTAGCAAATGCAGCTCGCAGGTGTTTTGATGTGTTTCAGTTTGTAACCATCCTGCCCACATTAGCTGAAGCATGTGCACAAAGCAACTTAAAGATACGGTTTAGTCAATAAGGTGGGAAGAAGAAGACTGACGCAGGAGAACAGTAAACAGCTGTACTTCATCACAGAGGTGCTGCAAGTCTACGCAGCCTTTCACCATGTGCAAGAGATGTTTCTGATTCGAGTTAAACACAGACAGGAAACCATATGTCTGAGCTCTACAGTGCGGCTGGCCTACACGACAATGCGCGCGCGCACACACACACACTGAGAAAGACCCACTTTTTCCTCTCAGCACTGTGAGAGGCACACAGAACCCAGCTGTGTTTCTATGACCACACTGAGGATTCCCCAAACATTATTACGTGTGAGTATTGCGTTTCCACTTCCTGTTTGCGGTGACGGTGGATTCTCAAATCATTCCACAAGACAGTAGCAACCGTAATGAGACCCTAAAAAAAGTAGGCCCACAACATTTTGAACTTCGCAAGCAGCTTTACTGTACATGCCAAGGTACGCACAGCAGTTTCCTTGTCAGTGGTTGGAAACAAGCTTAGCGTAGGAGGAGAAGAAGGTGGGGGTGATAAGATGACAGAATGAACGGGTATCAATAAATGAAAGTACCAGGGATGGGCGAATGACTGAACAAATAATGTGGAGAATCAAAGAGCTACTGACACACTTGACAAAGGAATACAGATGTGCTGTTCTAACAGCCGGTCCATTTTAGAACTGGCCAAGCATGTCAGCAGGAAGGGCTGTGCAGCCACTATAAAATAATCTATCTGCTAAATGCGTCTTTTTCTCTTAACTGTGTCACACTTAACTGCATTTGGTTAGCTGAAAGCTGGTGTTTTTTCCTGTGTAGTCAAATACTGAGACCAGAATATAAAACACCGCATTTTTCAAAGAATGTACTTTTGTACTTTGTACTTTTTTGCTGTCCAAAAAAAGAAGTCCAAGAGAAGGAACCAAACTTTTTTGTGACAGCACTACACAACAGTTTCCAACAAGTTACGAATTGACGGATGATGATGTTATCGAAGGAAACAGAATAAATGAATGAATGAATGAATTGGCAGTGAACAAGACATTGCCATAAGCCAATGAGTGATGAAAACAGGACCAGAGGAGACGGTCAGCAGAAAATACCTGAGCCCTACTTACCCTCTCCATCCTCAATGATCCTATCACCTGTTGAGCAACCAGGTAAATAAGGTGAAACCACACCCATTGTAGCAACTACTAGAAACTGATATCACCATCGTGACAAATGTGAGTCAGAACAATAATGAAAAAATACATTTTGGTCCCTACAGCTGCTGAGCCTGCATGTCTGTAAACAGTTTTTGGTGATCTTTTTGCAGGTATAACTGCGCGCGGGGATAAGTGTCACAGACCAGGTAAGGAAGGCATTGCAGGGTTGGATCATTAAGAAGTAGTATCAGACTTGAAAGCAGCAGTAATTAGGTTTTGGGCCTCAGGAAAGAGCTGAGGTAGCTGTAAACACTGTCACACACAGAGTTCAGTCCCAATTCTCAACAACAACTGTCTCAAGGCACATGTTGTGAAATTAATGGTGTTAGCAAACAGTTACCGGAAGCTACAGTCCTTTGGAATTTTCTGATAAATGGAAGTGCAAACCACTACTTTTAACAGTTACTGGCTAGCATTTTGCAAGAAGTAGATGTGAGCACTGAAGCTGGAGTTTGTGAAACCAAAGCAAAGAGCTGAAACATTCTAAACTGTGGAACTCCAGGAATTATTCTCCTTGGCTTCAGGAAAATCTAATTACAGCTTTAAGCTTCTTCAAAATTTTAGGTACTCACTTTGGGAGAATATTAGCTCTTCGTTGCACTCTGCTCCTTTACAGGAGCAGAAATGAGCCAACCCCGTTGTTGTGTTCTTTTCCTTCATCACACAGGTGGTGCTGTTGTAGTCATCCAGGGTAATGCCGTACAATGGCTCTGCTGGGTTGTGGCAGAGAGTTTCGATGGACAAGTTTGTCTCGTTTCTTCTCCTTAAACACACATTGAGGTATAATGTTTAACAGTGTATACCTTAAGAACTATCAGGATACCATCCACTTAGTTAATCACATCTAAGAGATGAAGATTGCTTACTTCTCTTGGATACCTACCAGATAGAAACACAGACCTCAGTTGGTTTTTCACATATGGATGAGATGCTGCAGTTGGTCTTGCAGATACCTGTGCCATTGCAGGAGGTAAGCTCCACATCACAGAACTTACAAAGTTCATGTAGTTGAAAAACAAGACCTGCAAATAACACACACAACAACACGCATTAGTTTCATGTTTCATCAAGTGCTGCTGTCCCATACAGCAAGTCACAATTTTTTTTTGCCTGTACAAGAAACACAAGAACTATCACAAATTTGATATATTGTTTTATATATATTAGAACAAAATCACATTGTGGGCTTTATGTTCAGAGCATTGACATTGTTATGACTGCTGGAGCAAATTCCTGGAATTGTACTCTCCAAACATTACCAAAGTTCTGCCTAAAGACCTAAAGTTTCAGCCAAACTTTTTTGAAAAATCGATTCACAAAAAAAATGTTTGATGTGCTGTAAGCACAGTGTAAGGACAATAATGATATACTGAAACAAAATGCACCACATAACCAAGCTACACGTGAACCAAAACTAAACAAGAGCTCATGATTAACAAATGAGAAAAGTAGGTATAGAATAAGACTGCAGTTTAAAAAGTCAAGACAAAACAAATTAATATATTAGTAACAAGAAGCACTGAGAGAGTGCAAACCTCTGCCAAGGCAGCTCATTGTCTGAGCAGTACTGAAAAGTACTTTAAGGAGTTTGTAGTAAAAACAATCGCAGAGTGCAGGTTTTTGTTATTTGACCTGTTGAAACCAATTTTGATAAAACTAATATGTATATATTGTACATGTGCAGTTTATCCTGTCTTCCAAAAAATTAATACTCATTTATTAACATTGTACACGTATTCTAATTAGAGTAACAGGTTATAACCTGTTACTCTAATTTACACAGCAAGGTCTTAAAATAAGGTGGTATTGAGAATTCCCCATATCATTCCCCTTATATGCCTGTATGTTGTAATTACAAACAATGGTAGTAAGACACATTGTTTTAAATAGCTCTTTCTAGGATTATTATCACTTTGACCAGATATATCTATTGACATTGAAGTAGAGGTCACAGGTCAAACGTGACACGATTTTAAATCTTTATACAGTACTTTCTATACGTTCACAATACACATGACACACAAGTCTTTTTGTCAGTTTTTGACCAATAATTCATTAAGTCAACCTTGAAGACCTTGGTAGCAAAGTTTACTGTGTTGTTAACAAAGTTTTATGAGAATTCATTCAAAACTTTTTAAGCTATCGTGTTTTTACTAACATGAAAGCAAATGCTACGACAAAAATGGAGGTAATGAGAGTATATTCACTCTCTATCATGGTTGAAATAAGGTAGTTTTGAAGGCAAAGGGGGACCAGTGTGTTCTTAGTAAAGTTGAGTGCATTCCCTAGGTTAGCAGGTCTGAGTATAAAGGAAAAACAATATACATAAATGGCACACAGAAGATGTGCTCAGAATCTTTGATACAATCTAAATCAGGGGTAGGGGAACTCCAGGCCTCAAGGCTGATGTCCTGCAGGTTTTAGATATCACCCTGGGTCAACACGCCTGAGTGATTAGTTCATTACCAGGCCTCTGGAGAACTTCAACACATGTTGAGGATGTAATTTAGCCATTTAAATCAGCTGTATTGGATCAAGGACACATCGAAAGCCTGTAGGACACCGGCCCTTGAGGCCTGGGGTTCCCCCACCCCTGATCTAAATGAATAACTACAGCTGAAAATTTTTAAATATCATGAGTACTGAAACAGAATTCGGTAATATTGTTCTTTAGTAGTATTTGACTGGTAATTTTTTGTCTCAGGCATAAAAAAAGAATAGTTCACATTAGGGAAATGTTAGCAAGCTATTTCATATTATTATTTTTCCTGCTACTTAAACTATTCACTCCTCTTTCATGTTTGTAATGGTCTCTGCACTGCTAATATTGTGGGTTCCTCAATGGAGCTTTTCACATATCAGAGGCTGGTGAATAAACACCTTTACACACTGAATGTTTGTGAAAAAACGACACGCATTTCCAAATTTTTTGAGCACGAACTTGGCATGTAATATATTTACACACTGGTGACTGACCCGGAGCAGCAACTAGTAGTAGTATAGTTTGACAACTTCAGTAGTGGTGGACGTTTTTATTTACATTTGTCCTGTGACACTAGTACTACATTAAGAATAGGTGAGTCTGAAAAACATTTGTAACGCATAAAATAATTGCACAGATTTTATGCATCTGGTATGTAAGGTCTTTATTCTTTTTTTTTTTTTAAAGTTTAGTTACACAAACAGTAGGGCGGAGCAACATGAAAGCATCATCTGCCTGACCTAAATGAGGTTTGAACCATGAAGTGTCAACATAGATAGCCACTAGCAGGGAAACATCTCCGTCTCACAGCCACACTCTGTACCTGGATCAGCCACCACAAATGAGCTAAATGAGTCCTACAGAAACCAGGAAGCTATACAGAAACAGGTCAAAACCACACTTAAGCACCAATACAGACAACCACAACTAAATGAAAAGTCAGCCTTTATCAAGCGACAGCATTTTCTTTCCTCTAGATGCTTCAGATACATAACCATAAACTTGCAAGTGAGCATTTTTGTTGCCAGGTACATGTGACACTGTACACTAAAAGAAAGGCACTCAAAAGTGATAAATCAAAGTCTTTTTTAAATTATAATCCATGAATGAAAAACAGTTTGTACTTTTATGTTGTAAACGGTTAAGTTTTATAGGAAGTTAGAGATAAAAGAATCAATTTGTGACTAAAAACTGTGCAAGTGACTCACAAGGTTTTCAAAGAATCTGACGCATGATGTAGCGACATTAGAAACAGGGCCACAGACTTAGAAGTGGTAATGACGTCACGTGATGTCGTTTGTCATTTAATAGATGTGTTTTTCATGTTTACAAAGTTTGAGCTGAGATCGGTTTTCATGTTCCGTCTCGACAAACGTCCACAGCAGCCTCTTCTGTCTTCATTTCTTCTTCACAAAAAAACCCAATCAGCTTTCAGATATTGTTTGATCTAATCTCTGTATGATTGTTATCTGAGAAGTATTGCATGTGGTACGGTGGCTCGTGTAATCAGCACAGTCTGCCGTTCTCCTTTGCGTGGCTCGACCCGCCTACGCCTCTCTGATCTTTCCCTGCTTCGTGACATGAACAGACCTGTCTGCTCCAAGCTGCCAAACTGCTGGCCTAGGAGAAAATGTAAAAAAACAAAGCTAAGCCACGATGTCATATGACAGTTCCTGAGACGACATAGGGCTTTTTAGGCTTTATGGCTGTATTTTGAAATCTGGGAAGGGCAGGAAGAGTTCTCTGTGTGGCTTCGTGTTCAAATAATCTTTAGATTCTGGGTGGGACAGAAGCTCTGTGTATAGTGTGCAGGTGTTGTGGTACACATGGATGGTTTTAGTGTTGTTGAAAGCCTTCCTCTGCTGGGAGGTCTGCTCCTAAGGCTGTCATGGTTCAGCTTCACTGAGCAGAACTTTGAACTTTTAATCTTTTCCTACACCTCAGGTTAAAACCAAGATTTGGGGCTGAAAAATGAACTCATGAGCAGAAGTACCAAAAACTGCAGTGGAGCCGCTTGAATCTGACTCGTAATAAAATACCCAATACCCATTATTTATTTTCTAAAATTCAAAAAAACCCAAGTTACTGCAGCCTGGACCCTTTCTGATGTTTCTAATTTGAATATGTTTTCTTTATCACTAAAAACTTTGTGGGCAATGTAGCTAGTATTGATCATAGTGAAACTAGACTTCAAACTACAGACACGTCAAAGGCATTTTGCCTTTGGCAAAAGTCTTATGGATTCTCAAAAAAGCTTTATCATAGTAAACAAACAGTGTGCAGAAAATCCAGATCATGCCTCAGCATGGGGGAACGTAGCAATCGTCAAAAACTGATAATATTTCAAACCTCAGAGGATTCAGCACAAGATACTTGGTATGCTCCTTGGTAAGCTTTTAGTGGCTCTCCTACACTTGTCCTTATTTTGCCATTTAAACTTATAATGAATCCACAGCTCTTTGGGTTATCTCAGGTACACACTGCTGCTGAGATTGGCTGCTAATGAGGGGCAACTAATCGGCTTTGAACAAAGGTGCCCTTCTTTTTAATTATCAGTCAATTTTCAATTCAATTCAGTTTTATTTGGGTTTTTTTTTTTTAATTGGGGGGGGGTTCTTCCCTCTTTTTTCTACCTTTTTTGCTTTATACTCTAACCTCCTAAGACCCGAACTCTTCCACGGCATGCATTTTTAATTTCTCTTTGATATTTGGGCTGATTGGGGCCCGATGAATGTAAAAACAAAGAATTACCAGATTTTTTTTTTACTTAATTTTTGTTTCTAAGAAAAATGAGAGCCACATATGAGGATATTCGTTTAAAATTTCGAGAGAACAGTAGCAGTATAATGTCCTCGTAAGTGGATATCGGGGCGCTTGTAGAGTAAAATTGAGTATTTTGTGATGTCCACATATGTGGACGCCAGGTCCTAGGAGGCTAAGGTAAAGACCCTATAATAATGCAAAGAAAACAGAGAAAGTCCTAACAATCATATGACCTCCAATGAGCAAGTGCTTTGGTAACAGTGAGAAAGAAAAACTCTTATGGGAGTGATGCTGAAAAACTAGTTCATGCATTCATTACTTCTAGGCTGGACTAATGTAATTCATTAATATCAGGATCAAGCCTGCAGTTGATCCAAAATGCTGCAGCAAGAGTACTGACAGGGACTAGAAAGAGAGAGCATATTTCTCCTATATTGGCTTCCCTTCACTGGGTCCCTGTTAAATTCAGAATTGAATTCAAAATCCTGCTCCTCACATACAAGGTCTTAAATAATCAGGCCCCATCTTATCTTGATGACCTTATAGTACCATATAACCCCATTAGAGCACTTCACTCTTAGACTGCGGGCTTACTTGTTGAGTATTTGATTAGACATAAATTATCTGAATTTCAGGAGTGGGACCACACCTCCAAACATTCCCCTTCTGGTTCTTGACACCTGTTCTCGTTTTCGTGCCGCGCCGTCCTGAGGTTGTGAGCCCAGCTAGTGAAAAGGGTGGCTGTGGCTCATGTGGTAGAGCAGATCAGCTACTGAC